AAAAGAACAAGAGGCCCAGAACCTCTTGTGTGTGTGTGTGTGTGTGTGTGTGTGCTGTACACGCCCTGTCGATCAGTCACTTTCAACGTTTCCCTTTTTCCTTCCCAATCGTTTCTTCCTCCCGGACCGACGCCCGAGGTGGTTTCCGTTGCTGCCCAAGAACGCTCGTTCCCCCGACCAGTCTTCGCCCCTTGATATACCTTTGTGCGAGAGCTTCCGCGCACTCGCTTCTTTCTTTCAGTGTCTCGCCACTCTAAACCTCTGAAAGCAACATTAGCAAAGACGAGGTCGACAAGATGCCCGTCTTTGACAACCACGAGTACCTCACAGAGGAGGAGAAGAGGCTGAAGGAGGACCGTAACCGGACCAAGTACTGGAAGAAATGGGGTCCCTATGTGGCTGAAAGACAATGGGCGACTGGCAAGTCTTCACCACACGCCCCTCCAACGCTGGAGCTGAACGCGGCCCGGCTATGCCAATATTGTGTCGTCTGAACTAACAACAACTTGTGCCTTGTTACAGTTCGAGAGGATTACAGCGCTGACGGTGATGCGTGGAGTCGTAAGTCTTTCGTCCCATGGTTAGCTTTGAGCACCTCGATGGCCAAACCCGCTGACATGTGCCGCTGCGCTCCACTGTAGACTTCCCGCACGAACACGCCCGATCCCGAACATACAGATGGGGAGAGGACGGTATTGCCGGTGTATGCGACTCACATGGCTTCCAGAACATTGCCTTCTCTTTTTGGAACGAAAAAGAGTAAGAGAAGACTGTCTTTGGATATGAAGGAGCAGGGCCATGTTCGCTAATAACTGGCGCTTAGTGAATTCCTCAAGGAACGCCTCTTTGGCTTGTCCAACCCGCAGGGCAACCATGGTGAGAGTATCAAGGAGGCTCACTTCCACGTTGATAACACACCTGTAAGTTTTCTACTTCTCCCTGGATCATTATTGCCACAGACTCTTTGCTAACTGATCCTTCTCAAACAGACGGTAAGACCTCCCCATCAGCGGGAAGAACACGGAAGCTTACAATCTTGACTCTTAGCACTCGTACATGAAATATCTTTACAAGTATCCGCAAGCAGAGTTCCCCTACGAGGATCTGATTAAGGAGAACGCTCGACGAGGAAGGACGGACAAGGAATACCAGATTCTCGACACCGGCGTCTTTGACGACAACAAGTACTGGGACATCTTCATTGAGACCGCCAAGGAGGATGACGACCCGGATGAGCTCCTGTTCCGTGTTACTGCCTGGAACAGGGGTCCGGACCCGGCTCCTCTACACATCATTCCTCAAATGTGGTTCCGAAACACCTGGGCCTGGGGCCGTGAGCCGGAAAGCAACAAGCCCGCGCTTCAGGCCGTTGGCGATAACCGGGTCAAGACTCAGCACCACAAGCTGGGGGAGCGCTATCTCCTGCTCTCTCCCTCGCCCGGTGTCGGTCCTAGCGGCGAAGATGTACACCCCAAGCTGATCTTCACCGAGAACGACACGAACACCGAGCTCCTCTACAAGGTCCCGAACAAACAGCCATACGTCAAGGATGCTTTCCACAGATACATTGTCGATGGCGAGAAGGAGGCCGTCAACCCTGCTCAGACCGGTACCAAGAGCGCAGCGTGGTTCACCTTTAACGAAGCTGGCGGTGTTGCTCCTGGCGAGTGCGCAGGTAAGTCTTTCGAGCTAGACCGGCTACTGGCAGCCACTAACACTCCATAGTCGTTCGATTCCGTCTTTCCAAGAAGAACACCGACTACCTCGACGAAGAAGAGTTCGATGACCTCATGGACAAGAAGAAGGAGGAAGCCGACGATTTCTACTACCGCATCAGCCCCTTGCCGATGGCCGACGACCTTCGTAACATCCAGCGACAGGCCTTCGCGGGCATGATGTGGTGCAAGCAACATTATCTCTTCATCTGGGATGAGTGGGCCAATGGTGACCCTGCTCAACCACCTCCGCCCCCCGAACGAAGGAACATCCGCAACCAGACCTGGAAACATTTGCACTGCGACGATATTCTTTCCATGCCAGACTCGTGGGAGTATCCGTTTTTCGCTGCTTGGGATACCAGTTTCCACTGCATTACCCTGGCCATGATTGATCCAGAGTTTGCCAAGAAGCAATTGGATCTCTTCACTAGGGAGTGGTACTGCCACCCCAACGGACAACTTCCTGCGTAAGTGGACATATGAGAGACTTGCAGTATATCATGAAGCTAACAGAAACTAGGTATGAATGGAACTTCAGTGATGTCAACCCCCCAGTGCACGCCTGGGCAACATTCCGTGTTTTCAAGATCGAGCGCAAGTTGTACGGAAGGCAGGATCTGGACTTCCTCGAAAGAGTCTTCCAGAAGCTGCTTATCAACTTCACCTGGTGGGTGAACAGGAAAGATGTTGATGGCAAAAATGTTTTCGAGGGTGGCTTCTTGGGTCTCGACAATATCGGCTTGTTCAACCGTTCCGAGCCTCTGCCCACCGGTGGCACTCTTGAGCAAGCGGACAGCACTGGCTGGATGGCCTTCTACTGCCTCAACATGCTCAACATGGCCCTTGAGTTGGCCAAGCACAGGCGCATCTACGAGGATATTGCCAGCAAGTTCTTCGAGCACTTCATTCTCATTTCTGATGCCATGACCTTCCGCATGGGTCAAAAGGATGAGAAGTCGCTTTGGAACGACGAAGATGGCTTCTACTACGATGCCATCTCTTGGGGTGGTCCCTGGATCCAGCAACTGCCTGTTCGCTCTCTTGTCGGATTGATCCCCCTTTACGCTACCCTGACCCTGGAGCCCGAGCTCATCAACAAACTTCCGTCCTTCAAGAAGCGCGTTGAATGGTTCATGCAGAACCGTGAGGATGTCGCGGAGCGAACGATGTTCAGCATCCGCAAGCGTGGCAAGGGCAACAGAATTTTGTTGTCTCTAGTCAACGAAGAGCGCCTGACCAAGATCCTCCAGCGTATGCTCGACGAAGACGAATTCCTCAGCGAGCATGGTATTCGCTCCTTGAGCAAGTACCACAAAGACCATCCCTTCTCGATGGACGTTAACGGCCAGACATTCAAGGTCGGCTACGTCCCGGGTGACTCGGACACTGGTCTCTTTGGAGGCAACAGTAACTGGCGTGGACCTATCTGGCTTTGCGTCAACTTTTTGCTTGTTGAATCGCTGCAAAGGTTCTACCTGTTCTTCGGACAGAGCCTACAGGTCGAGTGCCCCGTTGGATCAGGAGAATACATGCATCTCGGTCATGTCGCCGAGGAGATCCAGCATCGCCTGCAGCATCTGTTCGCCCGCGACGATAACGGTCGACGCAGCATCAACGGTGGTAATGATATACTTGACTTCGACGAGAACTGGCGCGATTACCTTTGGTTCTACGAGTTCTTCGACGGAGATAGTGGACGTGGACTGGGCGCCACGCATCAGTGTGGTTGGACTGGCTTGATTGCCAGGATGATCCACGACACTGGTGTCTCATGCCGTCTCCCACACACTCCTCGTACGCCACGTATCGGCATGGCGCATTACTTCGACGATATCTTCCACCGTCACACTAGCGGCGCGCAGACACCTAAGACCCCCCGCTCTCCTCATCATCTCCGTCGCAACTCGACTACTCGCTCTATTTCTGCCCGGAGCGACTTTGAGTTCAACGGCATGGATGATGATAAGGAACTCACCGACGACGAAGCCGGCTCACCTGAGGCTCGCCGCCGGTCTGTGTCTAACTCTGTGGTCGGACTCTCGAATGGCAGCGCGCGCGAGAGGGAAGAGACTGATCAGCACCTGCAGAACTATATCACTTCTCAGCTGGAAAGGTTGAAGCAGGAGAGGAATGAAGGAGAGGCGGATGGGTATGTGGTCCCTGGGGGTGAGGAGTTTGAGGCTTCTGCTACTCCTTGAATGAGTTAAATCTTGATTATGGTACTTGATGGACCCGATAGACAAAGACAGTTGGGAGGGAGGCAAGCTGCTAGTTTTTTTTCTGATTACACTGTTATAGCCCGTAGATGCGATGAGTCGTCGTTCTTTTTGGAATTAGAGGCCTATAGAGTTTATAAAGAATGAGTCGGTGGATGGAAGCTTTGATCGCGAACTTTATGACGTTTTATATCACAATGTGCTTATGGAGGTGTTCAATGAGTGAATGTGAAGTGATTCATCTTGCCTTTGAATGCATCTCTGATGCCACATGATATGCAAGATGTACTCGTCTGGGCTAGAAACGCCCTCAGACCCCTTCCGCAACGAATAGGGCCTAATCTGGATCAATGGTCACGTAGTGTCATTTTGAGACACGATCTCTTTCTTTTCTTTTCACCAGATGACATCTATCACAACCCGTGGATATTGACACTTGTATTAAATATCAGGGTGTATGTAGTCTAAGCACAAAGACTTTGGGTTATCGGGAGCAGGTTCCAAATTTAGGTTTGTTTTACTAGTAGCGACATATGGATTGATAAAATGTACACGGGTATACATGCATGCAATATAATTCAGGTTACCCCAGCCCATTAAGATTATACATGCAGACGGGGACGTCATTCAATCATTGTCATTCATTATAAACATCCTACCATGCCTTGGGAGTAGTCATTGTGTGTTTCTTTTCTTCAAGTATGCTGCCCGAGAAGCGCGCAAGACTCCATGGCCATGAAAACATACAAGGCATCAATCGATCAGCTTAGAAAACGACCTAATTAATCCTATATATTCCCATCAAACAACAAAAACCAGGATATCAATACCTACATTAGAACGTCTGTCTGATCCCACCCATTTCATCATTAAGGCATGCTACGCACATATATACCCTATCCAATTGACCTTCCAACCCAACCCAGCCCAAAACCGATCCACTCGTCATCAAAATCTCATATACAACATAACACACCAGGATTAGCATCATGATTCCCTGTCTGCTTTACACCATCACCATCACCAAACCACCCTCTGTCTCTGTCAGCTCAGCCCCATCCATTATCTATTGCAACTCATGCATATGTCCCCTGTGATTCGCATTCAACTCCTGCGGTCCGCCCACCGCATTACTCGCCGCCTCGTAAACCGGCTGTCCGCCCGGTCCGTATATCGGTCCATGTCCTTGTCCGTGCCCACCCATTGGCGAAACCCCGGTGAAGCTCTGGCCAGACATGTGATGCGGATGACCCATTGGCGCACCACCGCCGCCGCTAACGCTGCTAGGTTGATACCCACCCCCGGACATCAAGGTAGAAGCAGGGCTGGAAGGGGGGATGTAACCTGATGTTGGGCTGCCGTTGGGGTTTCCATTGTTGTTCCATTGGGGATGTTGTCCGTTATTGTAGTTGTTGTGGTTGTTGTGGTTGTTGTTGTTGTAATCGGCGGAAGGAGGAGGAGGCGAAGCAGGAGCAGGGTAGTGTTGAGTCATAACGGGAACCTTGTGGGGGTCCGGGGTACCGCCGCCGGCGTAGTAGTAACTGTTGTGGGAGTTGTTGTTGAGGGCCGGGTCGAGATTGCCACCGTTACCAGGGCTGGGGGTGGGCTGTGGTGGCGGGGAGTTGGCTAGACCTGGGTGACCGCCGCCGCCGCCGGGAGGAGGTACCGCTCCTGCTGCTGCTGCCGAGGTTGCAGGAGTGTCGGGGGTGTTGTTGTTGCGCTTCTTGCGGCGCACCATCCAGACAATACCGAGGATTACAAGACCAATAACGGCTAGACCGCCGACAGCACCGCCGACGATGGCGCCAATGTTGCTTCCTCCTTTCTCCTTCTTCGGTTCCGGTTGGTCGGGATCGGCTGGGTCAGTGATGGATCCGCCCACGCCAACGGTGCCGGAGGAGATCGAGGAGGGGGTTGAGCTTGCGCCGCGGGCGGAGGTGCTGGACTCTATAGTCGGGATGGCAAGGGTCGAGCTGCTGCCGCTGTTGGTCCATGTTAGGAAGGTGCGGCCATCTGTCTCGCCGTCCCAGGTCGTCTTGGCCGATTGCACACGCGAGCCAGAAAGAGTTCCGCAAAAATAGTCGGTGATACCCCCGGGAAATGCGATGGTACCGCAATACGGGTTGTCCGTTCCTGTGCTGGTTGTGTGTTAGCTGGGTGTACAGAGGTTGCCCTTTTGCGGGAGAATGACTTACCACTTTGCGGTGTAAGTGTCTGCCATGCAACCGTCATCGCATTTGCTCTGGACGAGGACCTCGCTGTAATCCATGCAAGCAACACGGAAGCCGCAAACTTTGGTGTTGCAGCATCCTGCAGCACCGGGTATCGAACCAGAGGAAGGGATGAAGACGCAAGAATTGGTTGGGTCGACACAGGTAAAAGCAGCACCTGTGGAGATATCAGGAGCGTTAGTATGTTTAAGAACTTGGGAAGAGAGAGCAATTGGCAGTACTGCTCATCACTTACCTGCTAATCCGCTCACATAACCACATGTGTTGTCTGGAGCAATGAAAATGGTGTCGCCATAGGAGCCAGAGTCGCTTGCGCTCCCGGAAACTTGACGCTTGAAAAGCTCATGATGAGGAGTCGGGGGAAGTGTTGGCTTAGGGGTCTGCGCGTCCGAGGGAATGATAACCCGATCTGTTGCCTGTGGCCCAGGGTATGCTAGAGCATGAACAGAAACTCCAAAGAGAGCAACACGGTATAAGCTGGAGACACCCATGGTTGTGATTGGCTTGAACGGATCTCAGATTCAAACCACAACAACAAGAGAAAGAGAGAAAAAGTTGAGTAGGGAAAAGATCATTTCGATGGGATGATAAACTAGTTCAGCCTTCGGAGAAAAGCAACTCAGGGCCACTTTTTCTGTTCAAGAGACCGACCAACCCATGGGAATGGGATAGCTACTCAACCCATCCTCACAGACCAGTCGTGTGGCTCGGTATGACGGCAAGACTAGAATAGCAAGAACCCACGGTTCCCCTTCTCATCAAGCCTCCCACAAACCCCATGTTTCTGCACGATATTGTCTCTCAGCCTGGGCTGCAAGTCGGGTAAACCGGGATAACCTCATGTTGAAGAAGGCCCACAGGGGGACCAGTCACACACAACCATGGCGAGAGACCATCGGCGGGTGGCTGGCAAGTGTGCCCGACCTTGAGCGCTCTTTGCGCCTCTTCTCGTGAACCCTATCTCCTCTTCTCCTCCTCCTCCTCCTCCTCCTCCTCCTCCTCTTCTTCTTCCTCCACGCTGGTGGTAACATTGGGGGGCGTCCAGGGGTCAAGGGTCGATTGCAGATGCTCATGGCCTGGTTTGGGCCAATTCGAGAGCGGGCAACAAATGTGGCTTGCAGTAGCTGAAGGAACAACATGTCTCTAATTGGGACAAGACAGGGAAACGGCACACACAGCTGAGGCTCAACGTCTCATAGTGAGGTCCCAAATTGGGAAGCATTGCGATTCTGCTCCCCACTTGGAGGGAACACAACAGGTAGGCTGATTGGGCCATCACTCGCTTGATGAGTTGAGGGGAGGAAGTGGTGAATCAAGATTTGGAGTGTGTGAGCTTCACTTGCAAGGCAGCCGTGTAAACTCATGGTAATGGGTGATATTTTCCATTGAGGGATTGTCAACCCTGCCATTTGTGAAATGAGAGGATGAGAAGTGCTACGGTGAGAATTGTCGGTGTCTGGGGCCCGCTACTTTTCACCGCCGTGCAGTGTATGGTAGAGCATGCCCGTTCGAATTCCACGACGTTGCGATGACTGATGACTGGGGAGACGGCACGAAGGAGCGAGTGTCCGGAGACGAGGAGAGCGAAACAACTCCGAAACATGAGGCTGCCAAGACATTCATGGTGTGGCACAGCACCCATAAACGACCCCAGACTATCGATTCAAGCTTCTGTCAGTGTAACCCTATCCGAACCCTTTGGGCTTCTTCTCCGAAAGATAGGGTCGTGATGAGCGGGGCAATTAGCGTTGCGTTGGGCTGATGGGCGTGGGTTTGGTGTTGATCGGGCCCAAGCTTTGCTTCGGTCACCCAAAACATGGAAGATCTGTTGAAGTTGTCAAGTGGAACAAGTGGAAGCCTGGAGACAACTGAGAGACAAACGCCCTTCGTTGCCCGTGCGGGGTCCATTTAAGCAATCGGCCCCACAAACAGGACACCGAACAGCGGACGGGACCCGGTGGGTATTACTTGGGGGGGCCGCCGGAATGCGGCACATCCACAGGGCACGGAACCTTTAGCGGGATCTGCAACCCACAACCCCGGGGCCGTCCCCAACAGTGACAACACGGCGGAGGAGACCCACATCAACAACCAAAAACAGACATCACCAACACTTTTAGTTCTGTCACCCCGACGACGACTGTCAATACACACACAAAGTAACTAAACAAATGACCCTCCATGACCCATGACCGATCTCCTCCGCGTCCTGCCGCACTTCCCCGTCGGCCAGTATGCACATCTGATATCCACCCTTGAGAAGGTCGGCCTCACCACCAGCGACCTCTTGACGCTCGAAGCAGCCGACCTTGGGAAACGTACCCAACTTCCCCTGCTCGATATCAAGCGCCTCTGTGCCGCCATCCTCGCTGCTCTTCACGATGACCTGGGCGTCTTTGCCACATCCCGCCGTCAACAGGGCCATCAGACAGTCGGTAGTAGTAGCACCGTTCCTGCTGCGCCATTACCGACGCTGAAGAACACACCCGCCTCCCTCGCCTCCCAATGGCAGACCATCAGCACCCTAGATCCGGACCTCGACCGCGCTCTTGGCGGCGGCGGCATCCCCGCCGGCTACGTGACCGAGATCACGGGCGAGTCCGGCGCCGGCAAGACGCAGTTCCTGCTTACCTTGCTGCTCGCAGTCCAGCTGCCGCCTCCTCACGGCCTCGGCAGACCGGCGCTTTACATCAGCACAGAGGCGCCGCTTTCCACCAGAAGGCTGGCTCAAATGCTTACCACCAACCCCTTCTTCAAGGGTCTTGACGAGACCGACGGCGCCAGCAGCGTGAGACCATCGCTTGACAACATCATCAGCACCGTCACGCCCGACCTGGAAAGCCAAGATCACATCCTCACTTACCAAGTACCCGTGGAGATTGAGCGGCGCAACATTGGCTTGCTGGTGCTCGATAGCGTGGCAGCCAACTACCGGGCCGAGTTTGAGCGTTCCTCTAAGAAAGACGCAACGACCTCATCGTCGACACCAGGCCCCGGAGCGCGATCCTCTAACATGGGAGCCCGCACCGCCGAGCTCGTCCGTCTGGGTATGCAACTTCGCGACCTCGCGCAAAAGTACAACCTAGCCGTGGTGGTGTCGAACCAAGTAGCCGATCGGTTCGGGTCTAAGATGCCGGAGCCTATTACTTCTTCCATTCCTCGCTCCTCCTCCTCCGGCATCCCTCGCTCCAGTGCCGCTATTCCCATGGCCACCGCCACACCAGGGGCATCAACCCCCTACCCTTATCCGCACACTCCCTACCCAGAAGACGATCCTCCTCAACAGCACCACCCCTCCCTCCACCTCGACAACCAACAACGCTTTTTCACCGGCTGGGGCGACGACCCCTACGCCTCTTTCCCCCTAAAAACTCCCTCGTTGGGTCTGGTCTGGTCCACCCAAATCTCTGCGCGGATAGCCTTGTTCAAAAGGCCGGCTTATGGACGTTCGAAGTACCAAGCTGATGACGAAGACGCTGGCGGGGGCGGCGCAGAAAAAGGCATGCCGATGCTGAAAAGCTGGAGACGGTGGATGAAGGTTGTTTTTGCGGGGTGGACGCCGGAGAGCGGGACTGGAATAGGGGAGGGAAGCGTGGAGTTTGAGGTTTGGATTGGGGGGTTTGAGGGGTGTTGATAGGGATAAAAAGAAGAATAAGGGACAGAAGGTGAAGGAGGGGGAGGATGGAGAGGGCAAGGGAAAAGAGAAGGAGGGCTGAGGTGTGTCAAAATGGCACTGCTCAGCTAGGACTCTGACGAAATAAATGGGCTGAGGCGGTTTGGGGGACCAGGTGGTTTTGTTGTTGTATATGGTTTAATGGTTTGGGAAGAAAAAGAAGGAGTAATATGTGATAACCCCCCAATCTTGGTGCTTAGACTACAAAACTATTCAGAATACAATGTGTGAAAGTCGACAGTTGAAAGTACAGAGTGAACGTTATCAATACTACTTGGTTGTAGAATTCCTACGGCCAGGATATTACATTGCAAGCACGCATAACCGTGGGTAGGTGGCGATGTTGTTACTCTGCCTATCATAACCATCCAGAATTGGAACAGATCCCGAAAGCTTGGGTAGGGGATCGTGAATGTGTCATACCTGTCATTGCTCGTAGCCATGATATCGAAATACATTATGATGCGAACTGTAACGATAACCCTAAAGATTCTAGAATATGATAATGTATATTTCATAGGGATATTTCTTTAGTCTTTGTAAGTCCCATTACAGTCTAACCATTTGTCTGCCCTCGCCGCGCTATTTGAAAATGCTGAAGAAAACCACGAGCGCCCTGAACACCTATCATGTAAACTATTTTGCAAAAGATCCAACCATCAATCCGTCAACCACCAACAAAAATCCCGCTTTCGGCAACCCGTGCTCATTATCCCACGGGTTTGTTTTCATACACGACAGAATAGCATCCCGGTCACCACGCTCCGGAAGTGCCCAACTACCTAGGGTGAGGGAACTCATCCTCCAACTTGAGCTTCACACCAACGTTCATAGAAATCAACTCCTGCACCAACAACTTGCAAGCATACGGCATCGTCATCTGTTTGACGTTCCTCGTGCTCTTGCAAGCATTGCAGTAGCCCTTGTAGCCGAACAGTCCGCACTCCTGGCAAACGTCAAGTTCGGTGCCATCCGAAGAGATCATGAGACGCTCCAGCAACAGCTGGGAGGCGCCGTATGCGATCAGACAATCGCGCTCCATTTCTCCGAGACGGAGACCGCCGTCGCGCGAACGACCTTCCGTGGGCTGGCGCGTAAGGATGGCGCGCGGGCCGCGCGACCGCGAGTGCATCTTGTCCTGCACCATGTGCTTGAGACGCTGGTAAAAGATGGGGCCGTTGTAGATGTAGGCTTCCATGGGCTCGCCCGTGATGCCCGAGGTAAAGTAGTCCTTGCCTTCCCACGAGAAGCCGTGGTCGATCAGGGCCTGGCCCATGGACTCGACCGGGTGCGAGCGGAAGGCGTCGCCGAAGCCGTAGTCTTTCTCGCCGGCGATGACCGAGGCTTTGCCGGTCAAACACTCAAAGAGCTTGCCGACTGTCATACGAGAGGGGAAACCGTGGGGGTTCATGATGATGTCCGGGCGGAGACCCTTGTCGGAGAAAGGCATGTCCTCTTCGTTGACGATGATGCCGACGACACCCTTCTGACCGTGACGGGACGAGAACTTGTCACCGAGTTCCGGCCTACGGGTTTGGCGAGTTTGGACTTTGATAAGCTTGTTCTCACGCTCGTTGACCGATATCATGACCTTGTCGATGATAGCCGGGTCGGAAATGCGGTAGTTGGTCGATGCATCACGGTAGTCGTCTGACCCACGATCGCCAGCAATTCCAGTAGAGATCTGGTCCAACGGGGTCTCCTTCTTGATCATCGTTTGTCCGGATTCAACCTTTGAGCCAACCTGGGCCAAGCCATCGGCATCGAGGATGGCGTGCTTGGCAATGGGCTTGTCGTCTTCGTCCTTCATGATACCACCGACCCGGTCACGGCGACCGTTGGTGTAGCCTTGCAACTCGGCTGTATACTTGCGGAACACTTGGCAGCGGCCGAACCCACGATCTAGAGAAGCCTTGTTCAAAACAAGCGCATCTTCAATATCGTAGCCAGAGTAAGACATAACGACGACAGTGGCGTTCTGTCCTGCTGGAAGTTTGTCGTAGTGGATAAGCTGAATGGTCTTTGTAATGACCATTGGTCGTTGGGGATAAACAAGTGTATAAAGAAGGGTGTCGATTCTGTTGAACTGATTGTAGGCAATGGCACCAATGGCTTGTTTACCCATAGCGCACTGGTAAGTATTACGGGGAGACTGGTTGTGATGGGGGAAGGGAATAAGACCGGCGACCGCTCCGAGAATCGTGAACGGCTCGATTTCCATGTGCGTAGTGCTGTTGGTAATCTGATCTTCTTGAAGGGCAACGAGCGTATCGTTCTCTTCGTTAACATCGAGGTACTCAACCACACCGCTGGTCAGGAAGGTATCGAATGTCGCCTGGCCAAGTTGCAGCATCTTCAAGTGCTCTGCCTTCAACATGGACTTGCCGTTCTTGACGATGATGTATGGACGGCAGATGCGTCCTTCGTCGGTAGCAATGTGAACTGCCGAGAAGTGCTCATTGATGTGAATGCTCACAAAAGGAGAAACCCAACCACGGCGACGCAAAGTGCGGAACCTGGCGGCAAACCGTTTTGGCTCCCTGGTCACGGCAAAGGGCGTACCGTTCAGATGGATTATATACGAGCCCTTGCTGTGCATCTCTGTTCCGGTGTATTCTCGGATCGGGCCCACGCTCTCATCAGCAGCGAAAATCATCTTCTTAACGGGCTCCTCCGGCACATTCGTGGTAATATGTGTCATGAGCGCCAAGTTCTTTACCAGACCGCAGGCTTCACCTTCGGGTGTATCCGAGGTACAGAGCATACCCCACTGTGAAGGCTGTAGAGCTCTGGGACCGGAGACCTTTCTTGTCTTTTCGAACTGCGAGCTGATACGGGTCATCATACCGAGCGCGGCGATGTAACTGAGTCGACTGAGTACGTGGGTGATACCAGCTCTGTTCATGTTGAAACGCTTAACCGTCCAGTTGCCGCTCTGGATAGCGCGGTTGAGGCCGTGAGAGATGTAATGGCCATTAGCCATGATGGCACCGTGGGGATCATACGTAGATGTACGGTTGGGCTTCTTGAAAAAGTTGTCAATGTTGTACTTGACGTCTGAAATGAACTTTTTGAACAAATCTTCGAACAGGAGGGAAATCAGCTGTCCAGCCAACTCCAATCTCTTGTTACCGACGAAATCTCTGTCATCGACGAGCTTGGGGTTCTGAGCTGCCATCAGGACGCGGCGAACCATCATGGCGATGTAGACGGCCTTGGGGTAGAAGTCAAGGCCCTCGACGGTAACGTGTGCAATGACCAGATTCGCGAGTGCGTCGAGACCTTCTTCGGCATGGTTCCTTCGAGGGGCGGCACCGAACTTGGGTCTGTTGCCGCCCATCTTGACTCTAGCACCAACGTATTCCAACGCTTGTTGTTGTGTGTAAACACCAGCTCTTCCGGCTTCGTCGAAGTTGATAAGGAAATCGTCCTGGTAGCGCGCATCGCCACCGCAAACCAGCTCGATAATGTCGTTGTCGGAGAGGCCACCGAAGGCCTTGAGAACGATGACGATCGGAATGGGCTCGGAGAGGGTGTTGTGCTGCAGAACAATCCGGTCCTTCTTGAGTACGACGTATGTCTTTGACTTTCTCTCGTGTGTGGAACTGGTGACAGAGGCCATGACGCCGCCCGTCTTCTCGTCGGCTTCAACAATGATACGGTTCTTGCTGAGCTGTTCCTGAATCAAAATGACCTTCTCGGTTCCGCCAATAACGAAATAGCCACCGGGATCCAGAGGGCACTCATTGAAGACCTCCATCTGGGCATTGGTGGCACCGTTGAGGTAGCACTTTGCACTCTTGAGCATGACGGGGATGCGGCACAGTGGGATGTTCTTGCGGACGATGACGCTCTTGTCGCGGGTATAGGCGATATCGACTTCGACGGGGGCGGCGTAGGTGAGGTCGCGGAGACGGCACTCCATGGGGGGTGACGGGGTTTCTCGACTGGACTTGCTCGCCATCTTCGGTGCGGGTGGGCATGCCGACGCGGATGTCTCTGAACTCGAGCCAGAAGTTGGGGTCCTGGTCGCTGCGGACGACGCGGTTGGCCTTGACGATGTCCTTGATCTCCTCATTGACGAAGTAGTTGTACGAGTCGATGTGCTGCTTGACGAGACCCTTGACCTTGAGGAAGGCCGGGACGAGATGGAACTTGTCCTCCTTGGTCGAGACGGGATCCGTCAGCTTCTTGCCATTGTAGAACGGCTCCAGCAGGGCCTCGAAGCCATCGTCGAGAGCCGCCATCCTTGCATGTGCTGACAGTGGGTGGGTGACGGTTCTTCGTATCGATCAGGCTTTGGATAAAAGAAGACGTGCGCGCGGGTCGACACTGGGATGCGCGCGTTTGGTTACTTTGTTAAGTGTTTTAATGATTTTTGGCCCCGCGGCAAAATCGATAAGGAAATGCGATAAACTTTTTCTATGGGCTGGCTGCTGCCGTATTCAGTAAGCCGCGGCCGGGGCGGTGGGGGACGACGGGACGGGGGTGGTCAGTGCTCAGCTCCTGTTAGTGGTGACTGTTGCGCCGAGGCCAGAATTATTAGGTAAGGTAGCGCCCACGTTTTGGACCCCTGATTGACAAGTTCCTGTTCCACTTTTGAGAGTGTCACCTCTGAAACCTTTCGCTTTGTCCGTTTTACTCTTGAGAGAAACTTGACCGGATGCCAACTCTTGTCATTCAACATAGCTTATCTCTACTTCTTGGTGGCCAAGTATATCCTTCTAGCTCACTACAATTTGGACTTTGATATTTTTCGCTCACTCAATTTGGAGCAGGGTCAGGCTAGCTACCTGTAGCCCTTCAACCCGACATTTCTCTCAGCGCCAAGCGAAAGCTAGGTCTTTGATCGACACACCCAGCCAACAGGGGAGCTTCTGGTTGAGTCATGGCATGGATGGAAATCACCTGCTTGATCATTTTACATCCCTCATTTTGATCAGTTTCTATCAATTGTATACACCTGTGGTCTGGTAGTAGCACAACTCCACAAGATGTCTCGGTGCGTTCTACAACATGCTGGACAAAGCTGGGTGTCCAGACACCACCAGTGCTGCCCTTCGCGTCAGATGCTTTCGTACATACAACACCAGGGTAGAATAGTACCTGTCGTTTACGTTGGTCCTTTCCGGTCTTTGTTTGTTGGCCATCTTCACCAACAGCACTCCAAGGAGAAGATGTTGTTCCCGCTGCCTGCGCCTGTCACCATCTATTCAGTGTCCCTGGCTCTGAAAAGAGAGAGGGGGGGTTCCTTCGCTAAAACATGTTCCAAAATGTGGGGTTGAGGCTGACGTAGGTTAGCGAGACCCCTCTTCTCATCACCACTTACAAACGCTTGGAACTTGGTGACCTGCTTCGAAACGGCAACTGCCATATACACATACGATCCCAAGGCGGCGAGAGGGTGTGATATTTGAGCCAGCCGCTCCAAGGGTCGTTGGGAAGCTCCTTCGATATCCATCCACTCCATTGAACGGTGGTGTTTGCCCCGATGATGACGGTATGCTTGTTGGTTTTGCCAACTTCCAGCCAACAAGGGCGTGTTGCTTGAATACCTCGATGCCCACTGTTCTAGCCGCGGAACCTGGGGTTGATGCTCTTGGTTGGTTACACGAACGTCGAGAGCCAAAGTTTGGGATGCTGTACCCTTCTTCTCTTCCATTTGACATTGGGTAAGTCGATAACATCCGGTGGCCTATAGACGATAGTTGATCGAACCTGGACATATCAAGAAAACATAACAAGGATGAAATAAGAAAGAGTGAACACAGCGGCCTTGGACCTCTTGGTCAACGACTTTGACTCTTTGGAAATAATTTAGATGGTGAAATGCAGCCTCCGACCTCACTTCACCATCTTTTTCCAGGATGCTCCACCAACCGAGTTCCCCAAGCAGGGTGCTCCCTTGCTCGAATCGGTTTGGGAACCGAACCCAGCAGTGGGGAAGAAGAGAGGAGCTAAGCTTGGAATTGCAAAAGGCGACGAGAGACCACGAGACCGTGTTTGAACTTTACATGCTCCTCAAAGTGCTCGACGCGGCCCTTTTGACTTGATCTAGTGTACGGTGCCCTTTGACGAGAACGGGACTTATACCATCTCCCATATGCATCACCTGGCTGACGTAGATCTAGGGTGACGTATAGTGACGCTCCGGTAGTGTAGATCTCACTTTTTGAGCCAAACAGCAAAGGTGAAGTTCACAGTGTCCAGCCTTGAACAATGATGGGTGCCTATCACTGTTTTACCCCCCCCTCTTGTCATAGCTACCTTTCCCATGCCTTGTCAACTCGGGTGCGGCAACCCGTAACCCCTCTGGGACGACGACACTCAGTTCTGATGTTAACCAATCACGATGCGGATCCAGACAAGGCCTAACATAGCGCAGGGGCAGCTGCAGACTGGACGCAAGGGCGCGGGTTGGAGAACCTGGGGCAGCCTGGGGCTCTTCCTGGATTGCCTCGCTGCAGGCCGTATAACGGCGACGCCTATATATACACCGCTAATTCCTCAGGACTTTCTTACCAGGCGTGTCTGATGTCCCGTTGTAAATCAATGTAGATTCCTAGTAAGGCGATATGTCTCGGAATAAGGGCAATGTAGTAAGATGCTAGATCTTGAGGGACAAAGTAAGGGTACCGTATGCTTGAATCTCGAATCGCATCCATTCATGGTTGAAAGCACATTGACTATTGTGGGCGCCAATGCATGTTGATAACTTGAATAGGTAGTTGCCCGCTGTATCCAAAAATAGGCCGGTTGGTTGGATTTGGACCTATAGAAGGTTACCTCTAACAGCTTGGAAACAATCAGGACCATTATGTACCGGATCCGATAACCTCGCTGGACTCTGGAGAGCAACCAGGAGGAGACCAAAAGACCTTTGCTTACATATTCGAGGGATTGGTAACTTGGGGCTCTTTCGACCAAGGTGGCCAGATGCTTCAATTTCACACCAACACGCCGAATTTGCAGCCATTTGCATTCATTCGGAGTTTGGTGCCAACTTCCAAAGAAGGGAAGCGGAAAAGAGGACAGCATCGACGAGGAGAGCTTCGAGGAGAGCTTCAGACAGTAGTGTAGGTGCAAGTACCAGTACTTCCTCCAAAGGGTGCAAAGCAGCGCAGTCGCCCTTGGGCAGCAGATCCAATGATTGGGCTCTTTTCGTCCATCCACTGCGGAATTGAGGCACGTCCCACCCACTAGCCTCTGGCTGTCAGGGGTTTTTCGGACCCAGCATGCAGCATGTCCTCTTGTATCGGTACGTACATCCTTTGAGGTGAGGGCATCCACAAGTGACATGGGCCACCAGCGGCAGCTCTAGCGGCAGCGGCAGGCTGGGCTGGGGGTTGAGGTTCAGTGCGAGAGAGGAGCGAGTGGCATCGTCTCTCGCGCATCCCCATCCGTAGGTACTGGTAGTAGGTTGCCCACGGTGCCACCAACGAACCGACCGTGACACCTCTACCTCTTTCTTCGACCTACCAACCCGTCGTCAGGCTTACTCTTACCATCCCATCTCTCTTCGCCCTTTGTTTCTGTATTACTACTGCTCCCAAACTTGTTGCTCCTGGCTTCCCGGGGCGCAGCGTGTATAAAGTATACGTGCGCCGACGAACGAGATACTTGTTTCCTTTTGGTACCTCTACGATAGGTAGGTAGGTGAGCTTGACGTCGTTCCTTCCATCGCATCCCGTCCACCACATTTGGATACCTTCACCGGGCTACTCATCGGGCTGCTTCCGGCCCCCTCTCGGCTTGCGCGACTTCGGAGGCTTGGGACAACGAGAGCCACGGGCTCGTCCTCGTCATGGCCGGCGCCATTTCAATGCCAGGCCCGCAGTATCGGAATAGGCGCCGTAGAGGTACTCAGACTGCTCTAGTCTTGAGGACACGCTCAACTACAAGCGCGGTCCCATGTTTGCCCACAGCTTCGGACGGCCATGGACACCACTTGTCAGCATCGCTAAGGAGCTTCCAGAATCGATAACTTGGCTGAGCGGAACCCCGAAGGACCTATTCTAACTGCGACTTTGCCGAGGGGTCAACCATGCATCATTACAACTGAGCTTTACGTGGCCATACCCGGCAGGCTTGCGGCCCTTATGTGTTGCTTCTCACGCTGCCCGTCCTTCTGGTATTCGCTCAAACAGTGGTTGACTGACTAACGCAAGTGTATGGTATTAGATATAGAGGGAGTAACCCGCCGACGAACCCATCGCCCTGTACAACAAACCTGTATCGATTAGCAAGAGTAAAGCCGAGATAACCATGGACGAATTCTACCGCCCCCAGCCCCAGCGAGGCGAATCGCAAATGGCGCCCTCCTTCGTCAACAGGGCCGGCCCCTCCCTACCGCGCCGATTCACCGCAGAGTCGGGTCATGTACCAACACTATCCTCCTTTATACCTGGCTCTCAGCGCCCACCCGAGCCCACCGAGTTTGCTGCTACTCCTGCTGCTGTACGTTCTTCCGTGTCCTGGCCGCCTCTGCTCTTTGGGTGCAGGTGGGACGGTGACTTCAGATGCTTGTTGGATATGGAAGATCATGCTGATCATGCTTGGTAGACTCTCCACAAGGTTCAGCTGGTACGTCGCAACTTGTTCGCAACGTCGGCCAAGGTTGCCCGCTAACCTTATGGCCCTTTGCGGTTGCCTTGACAATAGTTAGAGAAGAAGAGACAGGAATACGAACGAATCCGAGAGAGCAAGCGCCGGTTCGAAGCCGAGCTATCCAAACTGGACGCTCAGCAGCGCCAGGAAGAGCGCGAGCTGGCACAGATGGCAGAGGATTTGCAGATAGGCAGATTCGCCGGCCACCAGTCCGAGCCGACCACACCCCCCGAGTATCGCGATGCCTCGAGAGGCTTTCCTTCCATGTTTTCCCGCCCGAACCGGCACTCGACCGGCCTCGTCAACCGTGGAACCCGCTCCTTGCTTACATCTCCGCCGTCAGGGATGCTGCCCATGCGGTTAGCCTTTGATGACCAACTGCCGTCACTCTCAGGGCCAGGCTCACGAAGGAACAGTGACGACGATGAGAAAGAAGAGGCTGTACGTCAAGATCCCACCAGCCATCGTTCCACCAAAGCGTAAGTACTTCCTCCACTCCAAGTCGTCGACATGTTTTGCGCTACCCCCAGTTTGCGAAGGCGCTGCTATCCGATGTGAGGCCGTTGCGGTTCTTGTTATGGGGCTGAAGAAGAGATCACAACCCCTTGAATTTGATTGTAAAGGGTACCGAAGTTTCGGCCCATCTTTCTGCCTCGCTTTGCTCATACCCAGGCTTCCCCCTTTGCCGGATCCCAGAGATCTCTCTTTCATCCCATCTCGATCGCAATTCATGAGAGGAGAATAGAGAACAATAGCAAACTAGATTATCCACCCAAGTGGGAACTCATCTACAAAGGTTGCTATTGTCTGAATGGTGCTTCTCTTCTGGAGTTAAATCTTCGTCTATAAAAGAACACGCTTGCGCCTTTCTCTTACAACTTGCCTACTGTATCCTTCAAAGCAGTCGTCTTCTGTTATCATTTCCGCAAGCAATCTCGACCCCAAAAACAACTCCAACGTTAACGAGAGATCTACCGTTAGTACGAACCGCTACTCCATGCCCGTGACGCGATCACGCACGTCGTACGATATTGGGCTCGAAGACAGCAACAACACAGCTGGATTTCTATTCGACGACGAAGAAGACACCACGGGAGAAGGCAGAGCGACTCCCACCGGGCAAGTAAGCAGCGCAGACGCTTTCCCTACATTGTTTAGACAGCAAGGATATTCCAATAGGGTGAGTTTGGCTTTTTCTCCGTTTGCTATGGGCAGTTGCGGCCACTGGTTGCGTGACGGAAAGTGATATTCTCGATCGGTCCTGTCACTCAGCTCCGGCTCAGATTCAATTCACCTGGTAGGCAAATGAGCCTTCAGGGCTTGCGAAAAGTCCACACCGTGAGGTGCTCAGATGCCGGTGAATGTTTGGTGCCCCAGGCAGTTGCGGGTTTGAAAGCCACACCCACACCCTCTCCCCCCACACACCTGACAGCACGAACATCTGTTCCTGAATCACCTTGCTTCCCCTTCCTCCACGCATCTCTCTTGCCCTCATTTGCACCATCACTGTCAACAAAACGCCCCGCAAATTGTCGTGTACGATAAGCGCAGTGGAAGTCTTGTTTATTTTGTTTGTTCACCCTCGTACCGGTTTTTCATCCTCTTTCACCCCTCCCCCAAGTTTTGCTTTTAAGTGATTTGTGTTGACTCATTATCCCTCCCAAAGCTGTCTGCTTCTTCAGCGTTAGACGTTTTAGGTCATTCTTTTGGTCTTGATAGTATTGGCGCAACCGGCTGGAACAGCATTAACAAGCATCGCTCACAGCATAGCATGTCTGCTATCGGTTCTGGTCAGGCAAGCGGAACAGGCTCAGTGGCCTCGCCTGAGCTGACTCCCATCGGCACTCAGCCTGCAAACGTTCGCCATTCTCTGGACGGCGCGAAGCTCTTCCAGGAGAGCGCAGCCGGTTCTGCTGACGCGACCCCAAGTTCCGTCATGTCGCCCGCTATCAGCAACATCTTGGCCAGCCCCCCGAAACTCCAGCAGTCGTTTCCGCCAACGACGTTCCGACCCTCAAGTCTACGAACGGTCAGTCTAACAATAACCACGCCCAGCAGCACTTCCATAACCACAACGCCGGCCTTGGCCGTATTCCCGCTGGTGCCATGGCTGCGCGCCATACACGTGAGCTTTCTGGTGATACCGGCTTGACGAACGGCCGTGATAACGGCGGTTACCCTTCCATCACCTCGACTTTACACGCCAATGCTGCACCCTTCGGGCCTGTTGCCCCCCAGCAGCAGACCTCTGCTACAGTCAACACGGGCTTGACCTCGACGGCACCAGCGATGCCCTATCCCTACTACCCACCGGGCCCCAACTATACCCCTCCTGGCAATAACGCTGGATACGGAAACCTGCCCATGATGATGCAGAACATGTCTGTTGGCAACAACAACAATCCATCAGCCATGTATGCCCCTCAAAACTATACGGGATATGGCGCGTTGTACAACGGGGGCGGAAGCCCCAGGCAGCCCCACGATAGTCAGGCCCGTGTTATCCAGAGCCGCCGTGCAATGGACGGTGAAGGTGAGCATATCGCAACTCCCAGATCTTGCCAGACTGCTAACTTTCCTATGGCAGCCATGTCTCGCTTCAACAACCTGCCTCTCGAGCAGGTTGTCGGCACCATTTACACACTTTGCAAGGACCAGCATGGCTGTCGTTACCTACAGAAGAAGCTGGACGATCGTAACGAGGAACAGATCCACATGATCTGGCTTGAGACCAACCAACATGTGATCGAGCTGATGACCGATCCTTTCGGCAACTACCTCTGCCAGAAGCTTCTCGAGCTCTGCAGTGAAGACGAGCGCACTGTCCTCATTCGAAATGCAACACCCGATATGGTCCGCATCGCGTTGAATGCTCATGGCACCCGAGCCCTCCAGAAAATGATCGATTCTGTCAGCTCGCCTGTTCAGATCAACCTTATCATTGAGGCTCTTCGCAACCGCGTCGTTGAGCTCATTCAAGATCTTAACGGCAATCACGTCATTCAGAAATGTCTGAACAAGCTCGATGCCACCGATGCCAGCTTCATCTTTGATGCAGTTGGACAGAACTGCGTTGAAGTTGGCACTCATCGCCACGGCTGCTGCGTTCTTCAGCGCTGCATCGATCACGCCGATGGATCCAAGAAGATTTGGCTTATTGAGCGTATCACAGCCAATGCCGTTACCCTCGTCCAGGACCCCTTCGGCAACTACGTTGTTCAGTACATCATCGACTTGAACGAGCCGAGCTTTACTGAGCCCCTTGTACGCCAGTTCCTCGGCCGGATTCCCCAGCTGTCGAAGCACAAGTTCAGTTCCAATGTGGTTGAGAAGTGCCTGCGTTGTGCTTCTCCTAACTCCAAGGACATGATCGTCAGCGAGATTATGTCGCAGAATGAGATCAAGCAGCTTATGCAAGACTCGTATGGCAACTACGTTGTCCAAACTGCACTGGACTATGCCACCCCGGGAATGAAGCACCAGCTGGTTGAGGCCATCCGTCCTCATCTGCCTGCTGTCCGCGCGACTCCTTACGGCCGCCGCATCCAGGCCAAAGTCCAGACTTACGACAACCAAATCCAGAGCGGCACGAGCAACAGTGGTCAAGCGACTCCTGCGGATCCGGCAAGCGGCCAGATTCCTCTCCGCCCTGCGCAACACAACCGTGCCATGTCCAACAACACGTCAATCCTTAATGCCGGCGGAGTAGGAAATGGCGCGAACAGCATCAACGGCGGCGGCAACGGACGTCCTTTGGGAGCTGTGTTCCCCGCAAGCAACATGATCACGGTTCCACCTCCTGCAGCGCAGTCTCAGATCCAGGCCATTCATCCTCAGAACGCGAACCAGCAACAGCATTTTTCTCCCGCTGGTGGCGCTCCGGCTGAGAATGGCCAGAACTGGGTCTAAGCCGTGATGCGGTGCGATGCGTCTTGGCAAGGAAGACAGCAAAAAGGTGTGATTGTATGATGAGAGGCGAAGATACATTTCGAACGGCATGGCTTTAACTTATCCGCCCGCTTGGTTTGGGAGTTTTCTTCCGCGGACGGCTTTGACTTCGTTATTCTCTTAACGCCGTTAACGGTGCTGGGCGAAGTTTCCAACAAACAAATAATTTGCCAAGATAAAGAGACAAGAGAGATCTTTTTCCTTCTTTTTTTTCTGATCTGGTCTGATCTGATCTGATATGGTATTGTCGGTAACGTTCAATACTGGTTGGTATTGGGGAACGGTTTTTATTTATCAGCGAACTGTGTTTCGGACAGGCGACGATGGCGATCTAAAATGGAAGAGGGAGACAGGAAGAGAGAGAGAGGAATTTCTTCGAGCTTAAGCAATCTTTTTTTTTGCTTTGTTGTACACTACGTATCTCAAGCTCGGAATCTCGATTCTTGATAGTGGGAAGATGAGGAGGTACCATAGGTAGCTTTCGGTCAGGTTGCCATACGTAGCCTACATAGAGCTTTTTCAAGGTTAATATTCGAATCTTCCGTTCCGTTGGTTCCTACTTTCTTGGGTTGTCGTTTTGTCTTGGAATTCCTCCGTGACTCCGTCTTGTTGCACATCTCTTGAGATTCACATGGTGTTGCCCTTTCCTCTTAGCCAGGTGTAGTCATTAATGAGGCTGACGACACCTCCCATCCCACAAAGGCGACCGAAGATAGGTCACAGTTAATAGCTGGCGTACCGGGCTCCTAATCTAGGTAACAACATATTCACCGCTTACTATGCAAAGAAAGGTTCCAGACTGCTGAGATATTATTGGCCGATTGTTTTCAGCAGAACGAGCTTGACTGAGTTCACTGGTTGATCGAGCTTTTTGCTGTCCTCCAGCCTAGCCATCCGCCCTTTCCATGTGACGACCCGTATCGTGATCATTACCCCCTTACCGTGTAGACATACCGATCTATCGATTTAGCTATCTATCTATCCAACGAAGAATAGCGGAACCCACACAGAGCTCGATACATACGGTGGGTAGGTCTAGAAGGTTTTTGAACCCACAAATCGAAACAGACAGACTGGCTGAGTAAAGTCAGACAACAAATACCTTTTAAAAGCCGTACGGGAAGGAAGGAAGTAGTCGAAAAGTTGAGAGGGTACTGTACTGAAAAAAGGGGTAAAAAAAGGTCGTCCGAAGCCGCCTTCGCGAAGAAAGGTTCGAACCTAACCGCTGCTACTAAGGAGGGACCAAAATCCGGACAAAGGTAGCGAGCGACCCATTTGAACGACTGCGTCATCCTTAATACTGTAGCTCCCATACACAGACGTTAAGTTAAGTACACTACCATACTACGGAGTCGGTCCCGGGTAGAGTTAGGCAGGTAGCTACCAGATTTGATCTTGGCTCCTCAGTGTCTCAAATGTATTAACCAACCTAACCTAACTGGAGTTTCTACTTGCCGGTGGTATGAATGAGCCTGGAGCCGGACCCGGCACCTAGTCTACTGTGTATACTTGTAGGTACGGCATACCATTCATTCACTTCATACATAGAACGTATGAGAAGGGAAGAAATGCGTTAGAACCATGACAACTGCATTCATCGTCGTCCATGTTCATATAGGTATATGCGAGGGGCAGGGAGTATTGGTAGTAAAATGGAGAGACAAAAGAAGAATTCCTTATTGTCAGTGTAAGGCAGGATAGTAAGTAGATAGTCACCGACTTGAGTGTTGGCATACCGCAAAGGTGGTGCCGTTGTCCATCATTTGGTCTACAGATAACCAACCATGTTGACATTGCTGGCCTACGAAGAGGCGTTTCTCGTACATATGCGAAAATCACGATCACACGCTCGTAAAGTCATATCACCTACGCATTCATTCATTCAAGTGCAGGATTTGTTCCCTTACCCGCTTTGTCGCCACCACACACGCTGCTGAATGACAAACAGGTCTAGAACACGCAAAACGAATTTGACGGAGAAAAGCATTCGACGAAAAGGGGTTGGTCACCAGAATTTGGGAGGCCATTGGATTTGGAGATTTGACCATCTTGAAGCTCGTGAAGTTGATTCGAGCACAGGAACCCGAGGAACACTATCACTTGGAAAAGAAGAATCAGCCCATAGGTAAAGTTCACTTGATTCATTGGCAGCGAACTGTAAGAGAAAAAAGATATGGGAATCACAAAGTACGATGATCATCAGAATGTCATTAAAAAGACAGAGGTATCATATGCAGCACCCGAAAATGCGTTCAGTAGTCCATTTTGGTGAGCTAGCTGGATTTTCCACAACTCCACGCCGACGTTTCACCCTTCTTTCCGTTGTGTCCCAGCGCTGATTTGCACTCAAGAAATCGTCGCTGTTGACGAGACCATGAAGAGGAGCAGGACAACCAGACGTTGCCTGGATTCCCAAAGACCCAGCCAAAGAGCGTGCCAATGAGCAGAACAGCCAGATCCAACACCAGATCCCGTAGACTACGGATCTCGTGGGCGACCCGTTTACCGGTAGCGCCAGAGGGAGAGGGTGTTGTGGCGCTTCCAGGTCTTTCTGCGGCCAGCGCGGGTCTTGTTGTAACGGTGACCCTTGTTGAGACCGCGCGAGCGCTTGCCGGTGGCGGTGAGGCCACGGGACTCGCGGTGCTTGTGGACGGGGTTGACGATCCAGTTGATGCGGGGATCGCGGCGGATGGCCTTGTGCTGGGGGTCGACAAGGATAACCTCGTAGTACTTGTAGGTGGAGTCCTGGTTGATCCAGTAGGAGTTGAGGACGCGGAGGTTGGCGCAGCGGCGGCCGACACGCTCCTCGGCGGTGGACTTGAGGGAGCGCTGGTACTTGAGCTGGTTCACACCCTGGTTGGTGGGCTTGCCTGTAGGGAGTTGTTAGCGAACTGAATTGGGCACCATCGCAAACTCTGCTATGGAGAAAACGTACCGTAGGTGGCACCCTTGGGGACGGGCTTCTTGCGGCCACCGCGACGGACACGGACGCGGTAGATGACATAGCCCTGCTTGGCCTTGTAGCCGAGGCGGCGGGCCTTGTCGGGGCGGCTGGGTCTCGAGGCCCGGTGGATGACGTTCAACTGGCGAAGCTATATTGATGCACTCTCAGCAAATGTTCAACGAGTGTATAGCAAGAACGGTGGCTCGGAAAATTTCGGCGCGGTCCCCCAGATTGACAGAAACGAGTGTTTGAGTGAGTTCGCGGGGGGCGGATGAATCCTCTCGTAGAACTCGCTCTCCCACTATTCCCATCAGACAGGTTCTCTCGCCAAAAAGGCCGACCGTCCACAAATATTCTTCGGCAACCGTTCTCGATCGGTGGATGCTTTGTTTCAACTAACCTCCCAGCAGCGAACGCGAAGAAGGAAGCGAACGACGTCGCTCTGCTTCTTCTTCTGAAGCTCTTCGAGGTATTTGAGGGCACCCATTTTGACTCTGCAAACACCAAATGTCGTCGGTTAGTCGCTGGCTGCAAAAAAGAAAAAGAAGAACAAAAGGAGCGACAGAATTACAGCTCTTGCGAAAAGAGAGTAAAGCGGATTCGATAGCGGACGGAAAATGATAAGGGCGCGTACGTACCAGACCCCGAGGTTGATTCCTGCGTTAGTGAAGTCGACGGAAAGATCACCAGCGGAAAGTTCAAAAATTTCGAGGAATTGGATGTTGTGAGGGAGAGGAGCAAAGCCCTAACTGCGTGCCGCCTGGCAACTAGTCCTAATTGGGCTAGCGTACAGTGGCTCGTGCACTCCAGCCCCACTTCAAATTCGAAGTCTTGGCGACATCAACGACACTCCGCCAAGACTGTGCTCTTTTGGCAGGGGCAACGCCATTCACTTGACGCAAAGACCAAATTGATGCCATGTCAAGCAAAGGGTGAAATATCTGGAATTGGTCCTGCATGTGTCCGCCGTGCTCGAAATACTATCAATAGAAAGAATTCGAATAATTCGCCAGCTACAAGCCGCATCCTCCACATCGTTGCCTTGACAGGTCTCCTCTTGTCGATGGCCTCCAGACAATGACATGATCCTACGAACAACAGAAAACCATCATGTTCAAGTCCTCGATACCTTACAAGCTCCTACCTCCGCCTTCAACATCCACCCTCACTCTACGGCACAGTCCGCACAACAGCCGCCAAAGCCTTTACCTGAGCGTGTGCCACCCTCCCCCAAGTCTCCGTCTCTGCACTCTTCTTCTTCGAATTGTCAAACAGTCCAACAGCAAGTGTCTCCGGCTCACTCAGTCCGCCTTCTTTCTCCCCATCCTTGGATGGACTATCATCGCTCTTGACATCAGGACTGATGATGCCCTCCACCATCTTTTCTCCGTACTTCCTTCCGTAGTCCAGCAACTGCCGCATCTTCTGGTAGTCCTGCGCCCAGATCTCTCGTGGTACAGTTGGCTTGTGCTGCTGCGAGTCTCTGTCGGCTAGTTGGTGGCGTTGAAGGATGTCACGACATATCTTGGTAAGTTGTTCCCCTTGGGTGAACAAGGGATTCGGTTCCTTAATGCCTTTGAGGTTCTTCGTCTTGTCCTGTGTGGCTGCCTTCAGGGTCGCGTAGACTCTGCGGAAATCTTCCTCGTCGTTCGTCTGGATGTTGTGTCTTGGAGGGAGAGGGGCGTTACTATTGCACTTTGCGATCATCTGGATGCTTTCTTGATTCGAGCTTCGCCCAGCTGTAAACGAGACCATAGAAGGAACCACCTGGACTTACAACTCCCGCTTAAACTCCGCTAAACTCTCCTCCGCTTGGCTTTGACTCTCCAATAACTCCGCCTTGAAGCTCTTCAAGAACTCCTTAGCTTGCTGGTTCTGCTCCATTAAGTACTCTTCGACGGTCGCCGGCTGTGCATTGCGAGGCTTGCTCCGTTTGCTGCGCAAGATCGGAAAGGTCGGTCAGTTATCATGCCCATGTCTGGTAACCGTGATCGGGGCCAGCGACCCGCACCCATTAGTATCATATCTGGAGTTCAAAACTTACCGATTAATATTGGCAACCTGAACCTGTCGGACATTCCCGCCGTCATCCTCATCTTCCTCCTCGTCGTCATCAGGCTCTTGTCCATGACCAATACTAGTTCGCGCCGGCTCGGCCTGCGTCTTCCGCGCTCGCTTCACAGGTCGTTTTGGCGCAGCAAGCTTCTTGTCGTCGGTATCATCGGTATCCAGAAGAGACAAGGCGGGTCGCTTCGGAGGCTGCTCCTGTCTGGTCTGCGCGGCACGCCCGTTTGCTCCGCTCGTTCTTCTTTTCGGAGGCATGTTTATGAGGATCGATGGGTCTCGATGATGTTGAAGATGGGTGGGTTGGAGGGTGAGCGGACGATAGGAGTAAAGTAACCGCTCTATCGATGGCAGAACGCACACTTGTTTTTACAAACAAGGGCACAATTGGAAGAAGAGAACTCTGCGTCGCGGATATTTGTTCGGTGGACATGTTGGGCCGGCCTCTGTCCATCCTTCGCTCCTTCCCCATCCATTAAGGTGGGAGTGTACCTTCGTCATCTTGGAAGGCACGATGCGGCTACCTGTATTAAACGTGCAATACCGAAATACGATATTCAGTCGAGTACCATGACACACGTACGATGCTCGGTACGCCTACACCATTGTTACTCGTTTGTGTTAGAATCTGATACTTGCGACCATTCCACAACACACGAATTACCATCAAAGTAGGGGAGTTGTTTAGATAGTCAAACGAGTACTTGTAAAGTTGACGGACTACACTAACGTGAAAAACTAAAGCCTGTGAAGATGTACCAATTCTCTGCCATAACCCGTCTGTATCCCGTGACATGATGCCCTTATCCTACACAACAGTAGTTCCGCTCTGTTGTATCTAACAAATTACGTTCCATGATATCTCGCCTGTCCGAACTTAAAAAAGCCGTTGCAACGCTGATATTCTTGATGTCTCTTTCCGCTGTTGTTGTTGCCTCTGTCTATCTTTTTCTTTTTTTCTTTGTGGCGTGTCTATGGCTGCCATCAATTTCTTGCCGCTGCCTCAGCAGAAAACATCTTGAAACCCCTGGGGGCAACCATCTTAAAAACACAAATGGCGGCGAATTCCGCAAAACCCCCATGGAGAAAAGAAGGTAATGAATGTGTGTGAAAATGAATGAGACAAGTGTGAATGGACGGAAGTAGTACCTCAGCCATCTTCGTCTGTGATCCCCCCAAGCAAAGTATTATCTCGGTCATGTCGTAAAATAACAAGAGCTGAAACGTCCAATCCCATACAATGTCTCCTTGCGTCTGTTTGTCTGTCTGTCTGTCTGTCGTCTTTCTTTCTTTCGGTCTGTCTATCATTTTTGTTCAACTCCGTCCGTGCAAGAACAAAAGAAGTCGTGTTTCAGTCTTTAGCCTCCATATCATCCTAAGCCATTAACCACAGTCGACGCGCTGAACGAAGATGGTTGACTGTAGTAATGTCGCGAAATAATCTGACAAATATCATGGTCATGCGGTGGAGATCCCGGTCCATCTGCGACCACTTTGATGTGTTGCCCCTGGATCTCATATACGGGTTCCCTAGGAATGGCTCCCTTATTCGGTCTCCGTCTTCGAAGATGCAAACCATCCCAAATCTGGATGAGGTAGCCAGAGAGACCTCGAAGGAGTATCAACGGGGGTTCGAGTTAAGAGAAAGGCCTTGGAACGTTGTTGCCCAGTCTGCCTGTGTCCCTTGTGCAGAGCCTGTCTGCTCATGTTGCCCAGCGTTTGCCTGGGGTGTTGGGTACCGTGGTCGTGCAGAATAGTCTACCGCCGGTGGAAAACCACCTGCCGTGTAAGTATCGGCATTAGGCATCATGCCCGGCACAGCGTATGATAGTCCTCCGAGTCCGGGTCCGGGTCTCGAAGCGGCCCCAAACGGCACGTAAGAATTCCAGGGATAGGTCTGCAAAGAGTAGCCAGATCCTGGTGCCATTGCCCGGTCAGGGGTAAATGCGCCTGGAAACGCTCCCTGCATATTCCGCCCCGCCTGGCCAGCAGCAGTGTAAACGCTTTGTTGGTCTTGTTGCTGCGTGTTCTGGCGGCGTTCCGCTGCTGCAGAGGCGCGGCTTACACCAACAGCCCCGGGGCCGATTCCGCTGGGCGCCTGTAGACCAAGGGTAGGGCTGGCAAAGGAGGCGGGGTTGATAGCTGACATCCAGATGCGAGTTTTATAGATTTTGAAGAGATCGGTAACCAAGGAGTTGAAGTTGATGTATGAGTCGGCGAAGTAGTAGAATGTCAGCTTCTTCCAGTCCCTAGGTAGAGTTAGCAAACGATACAATAGCGCACATTTCCACGTAGCTGACTTACATTTGGAACTCAGCATCCAAGATCTCCATGTTCAAGCCATGCTCCTTGACCTTTTGCATACACACTCGCTTGGCTTTGGCCTCATTTCCCTCCTTCTCTCTAAGAGCATGGATCTCGTGAGCCTGCGCCAGCCTCTTGATCAACTTCGGTTTCAGTTCTCCCGAGTTCGGCTCCTGGATGTGGTGTTGACCGGCGGGTCCCATGCCGCCAACGGCACTTCCTTGCAGGTTCGAGGCCGCCATAAGGCCAGCACCAACACCGTCTTGGGCCATTCCTGCGTTCTGAGAGTACATCATGAGCCATTTATATTGCTCCTCGGCATAGTGCTCCTTGAGTTCCTTGGCAGTCTTCCAGTCAACGTTGTCCTTAGCAACAGTGCCCAGATCGGTGCCCCGGTCAGCTTCCACTATGACCAGGTCGCCAGGTTTTACGGCAAGTCCTGTGCCTTCCTGGATATAGAAGACATCGGCTCTGGCACACTTGAAAAGAACAATGTAAAGAGGCTGGTCATGTCGCGGCTGTGCTGCGCCGTACATGTTGCGATGCGGTGAGTTGGGCCTATTGGCGTAGGCATTAGGAATCATGGAATATGGCGACGGAAACTGACTGCCATACGCCGACTGGGCAAGGGCATGCGAAGAACCACCGGCAAAGTAGTTTTGTACTAGAGAAAACGTTAGCTTCTGGAGGAGACGAATGGATGGAGTGTTTGGTCGTACCTTGAGCAGCATTGGCCAGTGCCATAGCATCAGGATAACCAGAAGAAGCGTAGTCGGGCGCAGAATCATGAGGGCCGGGTTCGTGTGGCGCAATCCCTTCCCCAATAGAAGCAATGGAGTTCTGCCGAACTGGCACATCAGCAAACGAGTGCCTTCTGCTCTGTGGAATTTCTCCCAGTCCCCCGAAGCCGAGGGAGGTTTGCCATAGGGCCCTCTTTAGGTTGACGTTATCAACTTTCCTGTTATCCGCCATGTAAGGGGTGCGATACGGGCCTACGCCAAACTCGCTCATCCGTCTGGCCAGATTCCTCCTGCCCATGTCAGACCCATCGTTCGCCTCATCAAGCTCATCAACAGCAAAGTCTGATTCTTCGGGAACAGCCTCGTGGAGGTACGCGTTGCTCAATCCAAACACACTCGAGGTAGATGCCCGAGGTCTCAAGCGCGAGTTCTGATACTGATTCTGCTGGCGCAGCATGGCATTCTCGCGCATCAGAGACTCAATGGCCTTTGCTTCAGCGGACTGCTGCTGACTGGTCCCTTGGAGAGAACCGGTACTGTCATCGTCTTCGTCTTCGTTTACTTTTCCAAGCATGGAGCCATCGTTTGCCATCTCACTCAACATACTAGGCCGAGAAGGACGATGCTGTAAGCCAGGATGGCCTAGTGGACGGGAACGACCGCCCAGAACCGTGGATGTAGGAACAGAAGGAAGAGATGTGTCCGGGTCAAGCTGCCCAACAGAATACGACTGCGATCGGTAAGTCTTGGGCGTAGGATGGAGAGGAATCGGGAATGGGATCTGAGGGTTTGGGACTGCATCCCTGGAGCCAGCAGATTGCTGAGCTAGCGCGTTATCAAAGAACGAGCCGCCCGAGCTGCCAGGTGGTACGCCAGATGTCGGTGAAGGCAAAACTTCTGCTAAACGAGAAGGAGGGTTGTTCCTATCGTTCGTCCAGATTCCTGCACCCCATGTAGTGCTGAATGGGCCAGGTCCAGCATGCGGTCGGCCATGAACCGCAGAAGCAGCCGGATGGGTGCCCCAGGCACCGACCCCAGAGTCTACAGCTGGCGTGCTGGGGTGGGAAGTTGTGGGAGACATGGAAGTGCTCGCGAACGATTCCTTGCGCTGACGGGGCGGCGGCGGCGGTTGAGAAGTATCATTCAGCCAGGAGGCTCGGCGGACAGGTTGCTTGGGAGCTTGCGTTGAGGTTGGGGGAGGCTCTTGACGGAGCGGGTCAACTTCGTCGTCTGAACTTGCTAAGGCTTCGGAGTCAGGAGTCGAACCCCGATTCAGCTTGTCAAGCAGTATCGCCTGGGTGCTCGGCATACCCAGGGCAAAATTTCCCTGCGCTGCCTTTGCCTGTAAGGCAGGCTTACCTGCGCCAGAGCTCATCATGGAAGGTCAGCCTGAAAGGCCGGGTCAAGCTTGTCTCTCTTGATATGAAGCAGATGTGCCACTTTGCAAAGCCAACGCTTCCTGACCAGAAATGTTTGTACACACCACCCGCTACCTGGCAAGCCACAGACACGTGGGAGTTGTTATGGTGTCCTTTATGTATTCGCGGGGGATAGTGTAAGGAATCGAGCGTCAACCGGTCGATAAAAGATGGCGCGAAGTCTATAACAGAGTTCTGCGAGCATGATGTTAGCTTACTCAGAAAGGCGTACTGCCGCGGCCCCGACAGAAGGAGTATAAAGGACGCTTTCAATGCCTTGGTAGTCAAGATCGAACAAAGTCATTGGAGACTGCATGGAGAAAGAAACATGCAGGGATGTGTTGGGATTGTTATGACGGTTCAGGGAGACATACGTCGGTGGTTGAAGTCCGCACGGTGATGATGAAAAGAACTTTTCTGAGCTATATCGAGAAACCTGTCATAAGAGATGCCTGGCTCCCGAAAAGCCCTAACGTCTGACGGATGATTTGGCGGGCTTCCACACAAGAATCTTGGAGCGGGCAATGCGTGCTGTACAGGGCACCAACTTGTGCCTCACGCGGGTTGGATAGACCGCAGAGGACCCAATGAAGGAGCGAGAGGCTTCTTGTGGCGCGGCGATCGGACCGGGCAACTCGAGAAGTCACAACCGACCGGAGTCACAGCGTGTAACTAGATGAGATAGATTGGAACTGGCGACGGGATGATGGGGAGGCGGAAGCTCGGAAACACCAAGACTCGACAGTGGCTGAAGACGCAGGACGGCTGGGATCGGTGGTAAAGAGGACGAAGGTTT